AGGTGGAGGAACGGGTGGGGACACTCCCCAGCAGAGTTTGAGGGGGGGAAGGTGGCAAAGTGTCTTCCAATAGTTGTCAAAAGCCTGTGGCAGGTAGTGAAAAAATCCTTTTCCAGGCGTGGGTCCATTCCCCGAACCATATTTGGGGAAGTGGTGGATTCAAACTGCTAAGCATGAGAGTACTGTATGCATGGAGTTGTGGTTAGACTATTTTGTTTGTGAGACCAAATCACTCCTAAAATGTGTAACAAATGTCTTAATCTTAGACAATAGTTGTCAAAAGCCTGTGGCAGGTAGTGAAAAAATCCTTTTCCAGGCGTGGGTCCATTCCCCGAACCATATTTGGGGAAGTGGTGGATTCAAACTGCTAAGCATGAGAGTACTGTATGCATGGAGTTGTGGTTAGACTATTTTGTTTGTGAGACCAAATCACTCCTAAAATGTGTAACAAATGTCTTAATCTTAGAGATACTCCCTTGCATAGCCTGGAACAGAACCAAGAAATCCAGAAGTCCCAGTTTTACTCTTCTGTCAGCAAATACCTGTGAAACTCTCAGTCAAAATATGTGTCTTATCCCTAGTGGCTGGGGCTCGGTCAATAACAGTACTGCCTGTTAAGTGTAGAGGTCTGTGCTGTGCATTTTAAAATCCCTTTCCTTCCACAAGCAGAGTCTGTGGCAGTCCAGAGTAGCCCCTGCCTGCAGACCTTCCCCCCTTCTCTCTTCCCCGCTCCCCCTCCTCCTGTGGCAGAACTGCACCAGCCGGGATGCCAGAACAGCCCTGCCTGCAGCGGGCCAGGGTGCCCAGCAAGTGGGGGCTGGTCAGAAAAGTTCCCAGACCTGGCACGGACAGAGGCTGCTCTGGCCTGTGGGGTGCCCAGACCCGCTGGGGCTGTGCAGGAGCAGCCCCTGTCTGTGGTGGGCCCCTGCAGTGCTGAATTAGCCCATTGTCCGTGGCAGGCAGAAGAATGCTCCAGCCCCATCGGTTAAACAATTAAACCTTCACATCCGTTATTTACATGTAGCATCACTAAGATTTCACAAGATGGCATTTCTGGGTTGTGGGGTTTTTTTAAGTTCTAGTTTTCAGAAAGTTAATTTTTAAAAATGTAAAGTCAAGCATTCAGAAGCTAGGAAATGCACAAAATAAGATTACCTATTAAATATAAAAATATAAGATATGTTTTTTAAAAAGCCTATGAGGAAACAGCCTATTTTGTATTCAGTGCAAGGTTTGGTTGGTGTGTGGCAAATACATGAGGCCACACACTGACGTATGAAGAAAAGTGTTGAATAGTTATCACGTTTTAGTGTATGAACGATGGGTTCTGTGGAAACTATTATACAGTAAACTTCCGATAATCTGGCACCTTTAGGACCCAGGGGGTGCTGGATTATCAGATATGCTGGACTATTGGAAAGGGGGGGCTATGAGGAGTCTGGGGTTGAGTGGGGGGGATGTGCCTCTTGGCACTACGGTACCAGCCCGGCAGCACCCCAGCTGCTCTGCCCCAGGCATCCCCGATTCAGCTGCTGCTGAAACTGACCTGCAGCTGACTCGCGGAAGCCGGGGGCAGAGCTGCTCCAATTGTCCGGCTGCCCGGAGCACTTCTGGGTTCCAGATGGTGCCGGACCATTGGATGCCAGACCACTGGAGTTTTACTGTACATAGTTAGGGCTTTATCATAGTGTACATAGCCATTAACACTGCTACTCAAAAGTTAACTGGTGAGCCTCACCATTAACAGGTAAGGCTTGCTGGTTAGAATTAACCAGTGGGGACTGAAGTAGCACCCTGCCTGCTATGGGCAGGGGGATATGCCAGCCCTGCGGGATCCACTGCAGGCATGAGCACTCCAGCTTAGATGCAGCAGTCTGCAGTGGGCCTGGCCCCGTGCACTGCAGGCATGGGTGCTCCACCCTGGTTGTGCCCCTGCACTGCCTGCCTTGTTTAACTGGTTAAACTTAAAGCTTACCCAGTTAACTAATTAAACGAGGTTTCAAATCCCTACTTTTGAGTGCTTGATATTATAACAGTCATATTTTAACAACAATTTTGTGTGTAATATCATTTTAAAGTAGTTAGTACTAGGGATGTGAATGGTTAACCGGTAAGGATCACCCTTAATGGGTGAGGCTTACTGGTTCTAGTTAACCAGTAGGTGCTGGAGCACCTTCCCACCTGCTGTGGGCAGGAAACTGCTCCAGAGAGTGCTCTAGGCAGCTGTCCGGAAGAGCACCTGTCTGTGGCAAGCCCAGCTCAGCCCTCCCGTGGCAGGCAGGGGCTGCTCCAACTGGCTGGATCAGCACCTGTCTGTGGCAGAGGGTGGGGTCACTCTAGCCTGGCCATGGCCACTTTGAGGAACGTTGCCACAGAGTAAAATTGCAATGATTTAACTAAAAATCAATTTTTAAGATTAATTTGGTTAAATCAGTGCCAATCACTGTACTGACTAGGAATATAAAATCCCATTTAAACTGGTTAAACATTAAGTCCTTGCGACTCCCGTTGGCCCCAGTTCTTCATTTCCAACCAAGGTTTGCCAATGGGAGCCATGAGGCTTCATGGCTACACCATTTAAGTAAACAAAGTGGCATGGACCTGCTAGTGGCTTTCCCAAAGCAGGGCAATGGCCCACTAGGGCTGTGTCCAGACTCAGGGGTTTTTTCGGGAAAAGTAGCCTTTTTCCGAAAAAACTTCACCTGCGTCTAGACTGCAGCCGCGTTCTTTTGAAATTAAATCGAAAGAACGCGGCTTTTCTTTCGACGGCGGTAAACCTCATTTCACGAGGAAGAACGCCTTCTTTCGAAAGTGCTTCTTTCGAAAGAAGGCGTTCTTGAATGTAAATAGGGCTTCTTCGAAAGAGAGCATCCAGACTCACTGGGTGCTTTCTTTCGAAAAAGCGGCTTGCTCTTTCGAAAGTTCCGCGTGCAGTCTAGACGCTCTCTTTCGAAAGAGGCTTGCAGTCTAGACATAGCCTAGGAGGAACTCTGGTGAATGGGCTAGGGCTAGATTGCCTGGGAGACCACCAAATATTTATCTTTAGGAATAATCAAATTTCAGATCATCCAACAGATTAACATGAATTAATTTCAATGTAAATTCATAGACAAAACAAACTAGGTCTCTGACCTTACAGTCAAATCTATGCAGGAAGACCTTTAGGATCCAGTTGCAGGATCAAGTCTGAGGCTTATAACATCTCCCTCCTTCGTACCTTTATGAGCAGTTTTAAGTCTTTGCGCTAAAAGGGGTTTTCCTATATAGATATACCAGCAAATCCTCTTAGTACAGGCAAAGTTTATATAAGCAAAATGTTTCTTTTGCTGATATATCTTCCACCAGTTATCTGAACAAAATAAGATATGCTGCTATAGCTGTGTTTGTACTTTGGCTTTAGCTGTCAGGCTATATTGGGTTAGGAGTGTGACAACCCCCTCTCCTCTTCTGCTGTAAGGGACATTGCTGTGCCAGCAAACTTTTCAAGTATAGATTAAGCCTCAAAGAACAAGGTGGGACTAGAAGGTAAATTGTAATTGATGAAGAAATGATTATATTGTTAATTAATTTTTTCAGGGACAGCTAAAAGCTTCAGTAAAAAATGAACCAATGATTGAGTACTGCCAGACTTTCTTAATTCTATGACATCTGTGCCAATGATACCAGAATCTTACAGCCATGTACTGGCAGAATTCGAATGTTTGGATCCATTGCTTTCTGCACTCAGGTTGGATTCCAGTCGTTTGAAGGTCAGTTTGGTTCATGCTTGTTGCATTTACTATACTATTTCCTTTTTTCAGACACAGAAGTCCACATTTTTGTCATGCTACTGCTTGGTGAATTGTTGGCATAAAATTACTTTCATTTGTATAGCTCCAAAACAGTGGTGGGCAATGAGACATTTTGTTTACCGTTGCCCACATGCAGGGTTGTTAGATTCCATTCGTTTCCATCTGTGTAGGTTTTTTCCTACTTGTATTACTAATGTGGCTTGTCCGTGAAATCGGGATGTTAAATTTTGATTGACTAATCGAATAGTCGATGCACTTTGCATCGACTATTCAATTAGTCAATAAGGGCGCTTTCGTCTTTGAAGTGTAGAAACAACCCCAGGGCCCATGCTCCTCATGGCATTTCAAAGCATCAGTGCCCTGTGAAGCCCAGGATCAGCGGTGTGCTTACTGAACTCAATATTGACTTTGAGAGCTGTGCACTTCGTCAGCATCCACTCAACATTGTTGCTATGGTTCAATTGGCAGACCCCACAAATTCTATGTAGCACATGTAGCAAAACCATCCTATCTTGGGAGACTGTCTTGGTTATGACAATCTTGTGACCCACTGAGATGGAGGGCCACTCATGCGGCTCAGTCCCAAGCCTAGGTTGCTGATTGAATACTAGCTTCCAGAGCAGCAATTTACAGATCATGACATGATAGTTGCTATGTAAAGCTTGGGTACAGTTTTACAACTGTCAGCTGCATGGTCAGGAGCAGTGGCTTGAAAGAACAGATAGGAGCTGCAGGATGCCCACAAAGATGGGTCATCTTTTGTCTGTAATCAAATAAATAGAAAGATCTTGCATGTTATTTTTAAAATGGTTGCTTATCCTCATTTAAAGTCACAATAATTTGCTGCCTAATTCTGTTTTTTTGAAGCAAATTATTAATATAAGGTACTTTGGAGAATAGATTAGTCAGTTACAGGGGAAAAAATGCAATATTTAACCCCAAAGATTCTGAGAGCATAGTCACTTAATTTGAGTTAAAACATTTTGTATTACGATGTACAGTTATTTTTTTGGTCAGCCCATGAAACTGGATGATTGGTTAAAATTTAACTGGATGCTATGTTGTTCTGAACAACTTCATAAATCATTGGATAGAACGGTTTGTTGAGCTTATTGATGGCAGATCTATAAAAAAAATTGCCCTTGTTTTTTAAACAAATGTAGCCTAACAAGTTTTAATGTACTTGTGAAAAACCTTGGGGAAAAAACCTGAATTAAGTTTTTTTTTTTTTTCCTGTGACCTTTAGCACAAAA